AGAAGTCTTACCTACGGTTGGTTTTAACTTATTTCACATTTAACCAGCATCAAATAAATTAACACTACAAACAGGAGATGCTCAAGTGTTTGAAATGGATACAATTGAATGAGCTTTCACCCTTTTTTAAACTACCATGTTTGTCTTGGTTTAGCCAAGAAGTGTTTATATTCAGGTTTCTTCAACTGAAACCTTTACAATAGTGGGAAGTTGCTTTTTCTCCTGCATACTGACAAATGTCAGCAGTCAAGTGATTATAGAGGGAGGAGGTTATTGCACAAATCCAGAGTAAAGAATGTGACAGCACATTTACTTCTTTGAATCCATAGCATAACTAACTCTTCTAGATTAATATTTTCAACTATTGGAAGTTTTATTCCATATGGATATCTTGCTAACACCATAAACTCTGTGTATCCAAATGTGAACTCCATGTCCTAGTTTCCTTTCAAATTGTCGCCTGGAAGTAGCTTGGATTTACCCCTTCCCTAGAAGTTGTTTTAGAGCAAATAATAAAACTTTTCTGAGAGAAATTAAATGTTTTTTCCTTTGTCAATCCACCACCCTATTTCAGCACATGTTAATCTCTTGCCTGATCTCTAGCAAGAGGTTCTTTGCTTGGGTCATTACTATAACCAGTTAACTATTCCTAAGAATTCAGTCAGTTCATTCTTGTTCAACCAGAATCAAGGTATTGTTACCGATTACTATAATCTCAATAAATGTTAGTTCCTTCCCTGTCCATCCAACAGTCATACCTGCTAGAGGAAAAGAAAAAAAAAAAAAGAAAAAACAATGGTTTTTCTATAATTAACAAATTAAGTACAAGAGGTCTGCATTATCTGAGGATGATTATCAACAGCAAAAAGGTCACTTAAATCCATTTGATAATGTGGTAACCAAAATTTTACCGTATGGTACAAAAGAAGGATCAACCTAAGTACTTTCTTTTTATTTATTTACTTATTTATTGGGGGTATTTATTTATTTATTGGGGGGGGGGGGGTACCAGGGATTGAACTCAGGGGTATTAAAGTACAGGTTATAGAACCCAGGGACAGTTTACCACTAATGAGCCACATCCCCATCCCTTTTTATTTTTTTATTTTTTTAATGAGGGTCTTGCTATGTTGTCCATGCTGGTCTCAAACTTGTGTGGGCTTGAGCTGAGGTTGTAGCTCAGTGGTAGAGGGCTCCCCTTGCATGTGTGAAGCACTGGGTTCGATCCTCAGCACCACATAAAATAAATAAATAAAATAAAAAGGTATTGTGTCCATCTACAACTAAAAAAAAAAAACTGTGGGGGCTTAAACCATACTCCTGCTTCAGCCTAGTTAGGTCTACAGGCATGTTCCAGCATACCTGGTAAACTCCTACATTTTTTGTTTGATTGAGTATTGGTGATGTTTACCGTACTCAATTTATCAGGTAGAGACTGGCCAATATGTAATTTCTTGTTGTGATTTTTGCTTCACTTTGCAGTCTCAACAAATTTCGGGAAATAGGTATGATAACAATTGAGCAATGAGCCTGAGCACAAACTCCACAGCCTGGTTTTTTGAGTTCTCAGCTGAATCTCTTGAATCTTAACTCCCACAGTTTCTTATCTGTCTGTTGTTACTAGTACTAATATACCCAAGTCTGTGAGAAATTGATCATTTGTCTTCCTTCCCTTCAGTGGAAGGTTGTACTTTCTGCCTAACCCTAAAACTAGCTCATATAGCAACAGAAATTATGGTGTGCCTTTCAGGGAAGAGTACTTTGTTTGCCTGCAGATCTAGGAAAGAGGCAGGGATTCACCAAATCTGTGAATCATAAAAATGTGTTTGCAAATGTTAGATTCATCCCATATATGTAGAGTTTGATTGTTTTGTTTTTTATTTTGTTTTAAGCAGGGTAGAGGGAAAGGTTGAGTTTGCCAAACTTTTTCATAATTTTTCAACCTTGTCCCAATTAGTATCTCTTTCTTTACTTGTGGGTTCCTTCCAGTAGGAATGCTTTCCCTGCTTTCTTGATCTCTAATTATATCTCAGTATCAAACTACCTTTTAAAAGTTTAAGAATCTTGTAACATTTTCCCCTCACTAGAGTTTTTTGAAAATAACACATCTTAGACCTTCAGTGTCAGAAGGTCTGAACTACTGAACTGAATTAAAATGAATTATGTGAATCAAAACAGTGAATTTGAAGATGAGGGACAATCAAATGAAATTATAAAGCATTCAACATTATGTATATATGTATTTTTTAATAACGTACATTTTGGTAGTATATAGATATAAATTCTAGTTAAAGAAGTGGATCAAATTAAACAATTTTTTAAATCTTGAAATAGAGCTGCTACTGTGATAGAGCTGTTCCTGAATTGACTTAGTGCTATCACAGTAACAGAGGTAGTGGAGGATGAAGTGTGGAATTTAAACTTTCTCTTTCTTCCTTCAGCATGTTGCTTGTGACTGGCCCCAGACTGTACCATTTGGCTTGTTTTTGAAATAGTGCTAAAACAATATTTCTATCTTGTTTTGGTACTACCTTTGAGATGCTCTTATTGTCTTTTTGAAACATTTTGGGAATCTGATAGTAAAGAATACTATATACTTTTGAAGTTGCTTGTTAATCACTTATTTTTTGTTACTTAAACTGTTGATGGATTGCTTCAGAATACTGCTTCTCCTTGGAACTGATTGCCCTAGAGAGGCCCAGCCTGTTTGCTACTGGTTTAATTTTAATTTTTTTGGTATAGGCCTGTAGCTCCCCCCTCCCTCCAGTCTCTAATATTTTAGCTTACATATTTTTTAACACAATCTGTTGGAAACAACTGCTGTATCTTGAGTGCTGACTGAGGATTGATCTTTAGGGTATTTAATTGAGTTCAACTAACTTTTTTAAATGAAGACTAGTAGATGAGGAACTAGCCTTCAAAATTTTACTCTTTCATCCCTCGGGCAGTCAACCATACCTTTGAAAATCAGAGGGAAGCTGTCCAGACAGCTGCAGAAGAGGGCCTGGCTTAAATGGCCTTCAAGTTTCATGAACTATAAAAGGATCAGTTGTGGGCTGGTATTGTGGCTAAGCGGTAGAGCGCTCACCTAGCATGAGCGAGGCCCTGGGCTTGATCCTCACTCAGCACCACATAAAAATAAATAAATAAAATAAAGGTATTGTGTCCAACTACAACTAAAAAATAAATATTTTTTTTTAGAAAGGACCAGTTGCCCCTTTGCCCCTAAAGATACTCACATGGGGGCAGTTTTGGGGCAGCAGGCTCTATTCTTCTGTGTTACATGTTGTGGCCATTTTGTCTGGGGCTTCTGGGAATCCAGGTTAAATGCTTTCCACAGGAGAGATTAGATACCTGGTTCTTCAGTATTTTCTTTTTGTACCAGGGATTGAACCCAGTGGTGCTTAATCACTGAGCCATATCCCCAACTCTTTTTTCAATTTTTATTTTGAGACAGTGTCTTGTCAAGTTGCTTAGGACCTCAGCCTCCCTAGCCACTGGAATTAAAGGTGTGTGCCTGGATTTTCAGTATTTTCTGATGGTGCTTATGGTTTTGAAGGGTTCCCTGCTTTTAGAAGTTTGGGTATGCACTAAGAAGTTATTTGGAGTCAGTGTCACTTTTAAAAAGGACCTAGAGGATGGAGATATAGACCAATGGTAGATCGCTTTCCCAGCATGCACATGGCCCTGGGTTCAATCCTCTGCACTGCAAAAATACATATATGTAATCAAAGGAGGTAGAAATTTGACATAACCCAAGAATTTTATACCATTCTAGACATTTTATTTTGTGTATTCAATTGGGGGGGGGGTGCTGCTTTGTTACCTAGAAGTTATTTTCTGTTAAGAGTTAAAATTCAAAGCTTTCCTTACACATTGGCAAGTTTTCTTCTCTGGTGTGTATGTTATTAATAAAAGGGCATGACTGTCTAGAAGGTAAAAATCTACATAAAGTTTTTTTTTTTTTTTAATCTGAATTTAGTGCATGCAGGTAAAGACAAGTTGATTTTTCTACCTTTGGTTAGTTTTATCTGAGTCAGCATGCTACTTTGGTTGCAACCACTTCTCTCAATCAGTACCAGTGAAAAGTTTACCTAGTAAATCAGCATCTGAGACATTTTCAAAGGAATATCTACCTATTTTCTTACTAGGCCTCTAGGTTTCAATGTGCTAAATGACTGTCTCTAAATATATAAATGTCTGTGTAGCTTGCTTTCTTATTACTTGCAAGTCTCTGTTCAGATGTCACCCTGATCATTCCATATGGATTACTTCCTCCCCCATCCTGCACATATCTTCCCTACTCTTTTTATCCTTTTTTTTACCTTTTCCCATAATACTTCAAGTCACCCTTTCTCCTCCCCACCAGAAGGAAAGGTCCATGAGGACAGAATCTGCCTCTATACTGGCCACTGCTGCATTCCAAGCACCTTATCTTTTTTTTTTTTTTTTAAATATTTATTTTTTAGTTGTAGGTGGACACAATATCTTTATTTTATTTTTATGTGGTGCTTAGAATCGAACCCAGTGTCTCACGCATGCTAGATGAACGCGCTACCACTTGAGCCACATCCCCAGCCCCCCAAACACCTTATCTTTAATGGGTCTGCTACAAGGTGCTTTAGCCAGGTCCATTAAGATAGTTAGACATTTGATTTTTAAAGGTACTTTATGAATATAAATATAGTTTGGGTATGTTGATTGTATTTTAAGATAGGGAAATTTGCTGACAAGGTAAAAATTAAAGATTTGATTATCACTTTAGATTCTGGAAGAAACTTTTTCCTTTACACCGATGATAACCAAAGTGATGTTTGAAGGTCTATGTAATTGCTTCCTTATCTTTGGGTTCCACATCCATAGATTCAACCAACCATGGATTGAAAATATTGGGGGAGGGGGTCATTCTTTCTGTACTGAACATGTAGACGTTTTCCTTGTCATTATTCCCTAAACAACATAATATAACAACTGTTTTTGTAAAATTTATGTTAAGTATAAGTAATTTAGAGATTATTTAAAATATATGGGATGTGCTGCAATTGTGTACAGTGAATCAAAATGCATTCTGCTGTCATATATACCTAATTAAAATAAATTAATTAATAAAAACATATTGGAGGATGTGTATAAGTTGTATGCAAATATCATGATATTTTATCTAGGAGACCTGAGTATCAGGAGATTTGGGTATCCAAAGGGGAGTCCTGGGTCCAGTATCTGCCACTGCCCCCCCAACCTGAGGGTTAACTATTTTCTCTGAAGGTAAAGTTATGAGGTAGGGTAGGTTGGAGAACTGTGAAACTTCAGAGTAGTAAAGGGTTAGAGTAGCAATTAAGAAATGTAGATAAATGAGGTAACAAGGAAATGGAAAAGAAGAATGACAACAAGAAGACAGAATCAATTCACAAAACTCAACAGCTAAATAACAGTTCTTAAAAGAAAGAAAAAAAAATGCAGAGGAGGAAATTATCAATAAAGTGATTCGAGAGAGGTTCCCTAAAAAGAAGCACAGTGTGAAGTTTCTGTACTGGAAGGACCCACTTGAGTACTCCTTATAATAATGTCAGTGGGAAGACTCTTTCTTGGTCATAAGCTTCCCAAAAAAGAAAACAGGTCACATGGAAAAAAGGATGAGGAATCAGAATAGCTTCAGACTTCTCAACAACAAGACAACTATGCAGTGCCTCCAGATTATTAACAAACTGAAAGGGTAGGGTAAAAAGACTCTCAGAGGGGCAAAGTCCAAAAAATGAAGGAGGAAACTAAGAAAGAGGAAGTAATGTGTGATAATGGATCAGGGACCTGCTTTATTCATGACAGATCTTCTAGGACTAGTTGACTGTACAACTGTACTTTGATACCTGTTGAAACCGTAATATTGATGGTACACAAATGTGAGTGTGTGCAATGCCACTGAACTGTAAACTCAAAATTGTTAAAAGGATAAATCCATTTACCCCAACTTATTAAAAAGGAGAGAAGATAAAAAATGCCAGCACAGGAAACTGTTAAGTTAGATGTAAAAAGTTGCTGAGTGAGGGCTGGGGGTATAGCTCAGTTGGTAAAGTACCACCTGGCATGCATAAGGTCCTAGGTTCAATCCCCAGCACCAAAAAAAAAAAAAAGTTGGTGGGTGTAGAGAGTGGTGTGTAATCTTCCCACTGTTTTCTTTTGGAAAAAAGTTTTAGATATGGAATCAGAAAACCTGATTAAGAGACTGTCCTCCAGGTGCACAGCAGGAGTTAGTGAATGTGAGTAAACTGCTTCTAACTGAAAGAGCCTGGCTTCTAAATTTGCTTTTCCATCTAGGGTAGTTCCACCACATATCAACAAAGGAGAAGCAGCTTTAATGGTATATAATTTGCCATTTGAATCTCTTGACTAGTCGCCTATGGACAGCTATTTGTTTAATTCAGAAAAACATTTAGTCTAAACAAATCTCATTATCTTACAGCGGGAACTTCTCACTGAGGACTAGCTGGATTGAAAATGGAGAACCAAGAACCAACAGATTCTTCCCGGAATACCAAACAGACTATTATTTCAGAGGAGGTATAATTTGTTTTTCACTTTCCTTTTCCCTTCCCACATAAGTCTAAATTTAAGAGAAGTATTTATGTTGTTTGTTGTTGCAGATGGATAATTTTAAACATTCTTCTACTCTCGTTTTAGGGCTTTGGCACTTTGTTTTTTCTTTCTTTTTTTTTTTTTTTTTTTTTAAGGAAAAAGAAGTTTTATTGTTTTGCTAGCAAATGAGAAACACAGGTTAGTCCTTTCCCAGAGTCTGCAATTCTGGCCATTAGTGGGAATAGAGTTTTTAAAAAAGTGATTCAAAGGCAACATTCCAAATATTCTCCCCCCAAAGTTATAATTCACTTGTCAATCTGGGAGATAGTCGTTCCTTAAATCTTCTAGTTCAAGTACTTTTTGCTCTTATGTGACAGCAATAGTTTATCCCTCTTAGTTATAAAGATATTATGTCCAACTACAACTAAAATATACATATTAAAAAAAAAAAGGAACCTAAATTGTTAGTTGTAGTCCAAATTCCACTGACTTTGTAGAACTAAAGTCTGTCTTGTATGTTATTCAGTTTAGTTTTTTACTAAACTCTTCTTGCAGGAACGATTGCAGTGGATAAATTTTAAATCCTTCATCAATTCTGATCTTGGCACCTTTCTGGAATTATTTTTTATTTAAAAGTTTTTCCATTGTCTGTGAACAGATCTGCTGATAATTTTTAGGTTGCTGCCAGGAAGAAGTGAAAGATAGGATAGTAAGAAAAAGGCTACTGCTTTAAGTATACAGTGAAACTCTCTTGGTTCAGTATAGTGTCATAGGTAAGTTAGTCCTTGTAACCAAAACTCAAACAGCTAGCCTGAACAGTCCCAGGGACTGTCTTAGATTGGGTAGACAGATCACATGTCAGGGTAGGAAACTTAATCCTGGACCTGGTTTCCCCACAATTAGCTTTCCAGTATAATCATCTATGGAAAATACATTAATAAAATTTTACCCACGCACACACCTATGTAGCTAATACCCAGATGAGAGGATAGAACTTTAGTAGGAGTATCCCAGAAGACCTCTTACCCTTGGTGCTCCCATCTAATTGCCCCCACTTCCTCCATCCCAGAAGTTTCAGTTTTTTTACTTGTTGGTGCTGAGAATTACACCAGAGCCCTTGCACATGCTTCCTCTGAGCCATGCTCCCATTTCCTGTCCATTTTGACTGTCACTTATTTTCACTTCTTAATAATACCTCAAAAACTCCAAAGAGAATCAGAGCTAGCCTTTAGGAAAAACAACTTTGAATATTTATTCTGAAATGAAAAGTTGCCCAAAATTATTGGGAGGGAAGCATGATTATTGAGGTGGGGGGACTACATATCAAAAATCTGAACAAAAAATACCTTTTAGATAAAAAACCAACTGGGTTAGAAAGTTTCCCAACTTACTATCTGATCTCATTTTAGTTAATTTCAGAAGGAAAATGGGTCAAGCTTGAAAAAACAACTTACATGGATCCTACTGGTAAAACTAGGTAAACGTTTTCTTCTCTTATAAACTGATCAGTATCTTGGTTCTCTGGATCTCTGTTGAATATTTAACATAACTTTTTTTTATGTTTTCCTCATTATAAACTTTTAAATAAGAACTTTAATGAAGATGTTTTTCCACTGTTAGAATGTTTGGATCATTGATATTATGAATAAAATTAGGCTGTAAATTTGTTACAATAACTAATCAGGAAACTATTTTAACACCATTTTCCGCAGTAGACTAGTGTGGAACTAAACTTTTATGTCAAACCTAATTTAGTTGCCAAGACAGCAGAATAATTAACAATACATGTAAACAATACTTGTAAAACCAATACTTTAATCTCTGAATTAGAAAAATTTAAAGAGAAAACAAAAACATAGCTGGTTTTAAGGTAATACCTAGATGTTTATACCTTGTTCATAGAATGTAAATTGGAAGAAAAACCCATATCATAATGCATATTTTCACTCGTTGTAGCAAATAGCTAATAATCCACTTCTGAGAATGTGCTAAGAAAATTATCTCTTGTTTAGACTCAGATTTATAAATGAAAAGTTAAAAGAGGCTGGGTGCAGTGGTGCATGCCTGTAATCCCAGCTGCTTGGGAGGCTGAGGCAGGAGTATCATGAGTTCACAGCCAGCCTCAGCAAAGGCGGTAAGGTGCTAAGCAACTCAGTGAGACCCTGTCTCTAAATAAAATACAAAATAGGGCTGGGGATGTGGCTCACTGGTTGAGTGCCCCTGAGTTCAATTCCCAGTACCAGGCACAGTAGCACAGGCCTGTAATACCAGCGGCTAGGGAGACTGAGGCAGGAAGATCGTGAGTTCAAAGTCAGCCTCAGTAAAAGTGAGGTGCTAAGCAACTCAGTGAGACCCTGTCTTTAAATAAAATGCAAAAATAGGGCTGGAAATGTGGCTCAGTGGTCAAGTGCCCCTGAGTTCAATCTCCAGTACCCCCGCCCCCACCAAAAAAAAAAGAAAAATCTCCGTGTGGTGGCATACACCTGTATTCCCGGCTACTTGGAAGACTGAGGCAAGAGGATCCCAAGTTCTAGGCCAGCCTCAGGAACTTAGCAAGACCCTGTCTCAAATTTTACAAAATGAAAAAGGACTGGGGATATAGTTCAGTGCTAGAGCATTCCTGGATTCAAGCCTCCTTACTATTAAAAAAAAGAAAGTTAGGGCTGGACTGGAGATTGTAGCCCAGGTATATAGATAGCCCTTGCCTAGCATGCATGAGGTCCTAGGTTCAAGCTCTAGCACTGCAAATATATGTGTGTGTGTGTGTGTGTGTGTGTGTGTAACTAATTGTTATGGTATATTTGAAGAAAACCTAGTAAAATGGGAAAAGTTAAATAGATTATTTACCTAATGAAACATAATGAGTAAAACAAAATATGAAAATTAAATCACATGATTTATCCAGATTACATGATTAATATTCATTATTATAAAAATTTCATTTGTTAAGTGATCAGATAAAAATACATAGCTTTTCTGTGGGTAGACACATCTGTCATCAAGGTGAAGAAAATATATGGATTTGCAAATTTGAACAATTTTTTATTAGATCTAGTAAATTAGCAAAAAAACATTAATAAGACCTGGTGTTGGAGAGCTAGAGGAAACATTAAGATATTTATACTGCACTGTTGACTCAAAACCCAAAAGTAAGAAAGCTAACACACTATGCCATTATCATCCTCGAAGACTGTAATATTTAAAATATTAAGTGAATTTGATATTTTAAAAGGTAAGGGATATGGCCAAACCCAATACAGAAATGTGGCAAGGCTTCAGGGAGCACAGTATATTCAAATGTATTTATATTTGCAAAAGTATATACAGACATTGGAATCCAATATATTATATGGTATGGTTCTCTTTTTCTTATAAAATTAAGTTTATAACACAAAATGCAACCATTAACACTAATTAGTCTAAGAATATGTGTTGGTTTATGCCATCTATCTCTTCACCTTGCTAGTCATCTTCCCTTCCAACAATTAATTAGGAATGTACACCAGAGTAATTTGGGGATTTTCTTCAAAATACTCAAGTCTAGATCTCATTTACATTATTTCAATAATTTGGGAGTGGACCCTACCTTCTACCAACCTAATTGTACATGTTTATTTCCATTCTTCATCATATAAGTCGTCTTGCTGACCTCTGATGAGATCTTATATAAACCATTAATATTTTTGTACTGGAATGTCAAGCTTTAAAGACAGAATCTCTGAACTTTCTAGTAGGCCACATTCTATAAATTTATAAGAATGTGTTCTCTATTATCTGGTATAAAAGCATATGCAGAAAAGATAAAATAGCAGCTATTTTGGCCCACTGTCTTATTCACAGAAGAAAGGATATGAAATTAATTTTAGAAGTGTAAAGACATACTGTTAGTAAGTCCCTACATTGACATTCAGGGTAGTGCTGGAGTCATCCTTTGTGACCATCCAACCTCATGGAAACAGAATTCTAAAGCCAGAAGAGATTTTTGAGATAATGTATTTGTTCCCAGGTTTTAGAAATGAGAAAACATTTTCCAGGAGATTGTAGTTTTAGTTTAACTCACATGCAAGTAGAGATTAAGACTTTCTTACTCCCATTGAAAAGTAATCTCTCAAGAGAGTCCCTTTAAAATTGTTAGAGCTCTTCTGGGGACACTGTTGTTCTAGTATTTCTTAAAAATACATCTTATAGTTTATTGCTGAAACTTTGTGGCTCATTACTGCTTATTGACTTCATCTTGACCACTATAATGATGCTACTCTTTTTGTTTCCCTTATTCCTAGTGTATTTGGGATGGGACCTTCAGTGCTTTTTCCAGCACTATCTTCTTCAGTCTTTAGGACTAACCTTAAGAGGCAGCAGAGGGAGCTATGCCAAAAGGTGTTTTATCTCTTGCAACCTGTATTACCTACTTATCAGAAATTGCTTGTTGGTTGGCTTCTTGCTACTAACAGGAATGTCGGGCTGCTGTGAGTTGTCATAGTAGTCTTTATTTTCATGGGTTCATTTTTACACACATTTGCCTTTTAGAATTTGGGTATGATGCTGAAAGATATACAGGGTTTTTTTCCTTTATTTTTAAACCAGATTAAATATCAGAAAATTTTTTATAGAAATGGGGCAAGGTCCAAACCTTGGGGACCACTAGATAAAAAGTATGAGCAAGAGGGTTTCTCATAATAGTACATTTCATAACCCTTACTACTGGGCTGCAGATATTGACTCTTTTCTTATTCCAATTCCCAGAGCCACCCAGATCTCTCACTTCCTTTAGAAGAGATCTAAAATTGTTTGCCTCTCCGCTCCCATTTTTTACCTTTTTTTTTTTTTTTTTTCTACTTAAGGGAGGAGAGCATAAAGGGAGAAGTTTCCTGTTATGCTCTTTCCCCTTTAAACAGCATGATTTTTTCAGTTACTGCATTCTCTATATAGTTTGCTCAATGTTCCTGTCAAGGAAGTGGATTAGTACAGACATTACCAAAACCTGAAGTAACATAGCCAGGAACAGATATCTAACAAGGAGTAAAGCCATAAAAGGGAGCAGGAATTTGCTGTTACCCCACTTTTTCCCTATAGGGACCATTTTTTCCCCCTTAGACAAAACTTCACATATGCAAAATAGAGCACTTACCTCGATTTAATAATTCCTCAGTAAAGGGGAAAGTTCTACTTTCTTAAACTGTGTACTTTAGGTCATATATTTTAAAATCTATGTAAATAATGTCAGTAGTTGGCATTGTGCATGGGACAAGGCTGGGATCTTCCTGGGGCTTACTTTGCATCACTGCTTAACAGCCTTCACAGCTGCACTCACCAGCTGCCCTGCTCACCTGCAGACTGATGATCCAAACTGAAGTGTTTTGAGAGTGGCAAAGCAAGTGCCTAGCAGGCTTTCTGTTAGATGGTGCCCAGAGGGTTAGGTGTAGGGTGGCAATGGTTTTCTTTGATCATTTTGGAAACTCTAAGTACAGTTGGCTTTTTAAATAACAGATCTTTATAGTCTTGGTCTTCTTGGTCAGTATCATAAGGATATTTGCATGTGTTGCATTTATGAAGTTCTGGTTATACATGGAAACCTAAGAACATTCTCCTTTAGCACTAACATTTTTTTTCATCGTCTCTGTCTGAACAGAACTTGGGAAACAGTGAAACGTACAACCAGGAAAGGACAGTCTGCTGATGGTATGAGTCTTATAACTCTCTTTATAAAGAAAGTTACACAGATAATTGCAGGAGAGTATTGAATATAACCAAAATCTCAGAGAAAAGAGTTACATTCAGTTATGTTCTTTTACCTGAAAAATCTCCTTTTTTTTTTTTTCCAGTTCTATGTAACTAAATAAAGCTTTTTTTTTTTTTTTTGTATTGTTTTGTTTTACTGGGGATTTAACCCAGGAGCTCTTTACCACTGAGCTACATCCCTACATCCTCAGATTTTTTTGTTTTTTGGATTCTCAATGAGTTGCCATGGCTGGCACCCACTTAAATCAAGCTTTCTTTATAAAGAACTTCTGGTTCTTGTTTTCTAAGCTCAGAACTGTATTTTTTAGGTGAGGTGTACATATTTTTATAGCCAAATATAAATCTTAAAGCCACCCTTTGTGTCTATATTTGCTGTTCAAAGATCCAGGTGAGAGCCCTCAGCTTGGTAAAATGATTTGGCACAGCTTCTTGCCTATCAGCCCCTTGCTTTATAAGTTAATGTGAATTGGGAAAAGACTGTTTTTTCAGTTCACCTTTCCTCTCCTTTCATGAGTGATTTGACTGCAAAGACCTCAGAAACAATCCTGAAAATTATTTCTGGCATTGGGGAAGTAGGTCTTTTCTTATTTTTCCTTTTTATTTTTCTGATGTCTATTTTTACTATAAGCTGAGTAGTTTTGCTGCAACTCTTGTTCTTACCTGAAGCAAAAGCATTTAAAAGGAGCCAAGTCCTCCTGCCAGGTGGTTCGTATTTTCCAGAACCCAGGGGCTTTTTGTTTTTTAGTTTTGTTTTGATTAAGGCCAAGTTACTTGGGAGGAAAGACCTTTTACTCTGTTATATAACCAGTCTAGTTAGCATACACTAGAAGCAGTGGAATTTACTTGGTTTCTTGCTTAATGGAATTGCAGGAGCACGGAGATCACTAACTCACAGTGGTCCAGCTGCTGCACAGTGAGTGAAGGTTCTGCCTAGAGGTCCGTGTAGACTGAAGCTTCATGTCCTTGATGCTATGTGAAATACTTGGTTTCAGTTTGGTTTTATTTGTTAAGAAAGTGAGGTGGGCATGGTGACATCCACCTATAAGCCCAGGCAGGAGGATCAGGAATTCGAGGCCAACCTGGGTAACAGGCAACATAGGTAGGCCTTCTCTCTCTCTCAAAAAAAGTGACAGTTAAAATGAACTTTTTATTTAAAAAATCAAGCACAGAAACCTGATTATTTTTTAATTACAGTTTTAAATGAGAGTTCCAATGTTAACTGCCAACACTAAAGATTTAAGTTAATTTCTTATTGCTTACTGGGAAATTCAGAGTAGATTCTGGATGCAGAAGTCTGGGGCTTTAGTTAGATTGCTCTGAGCAAATTGCTGGTCTAGGCTAACCTTTCTTAGAGATTACCTTGCTTTCATTTCCTGGTGACAGGTGTAGCAGTCATCCCAGTGCTCCAGAGAACTCTTCATTATGAGTGTATTGTTCTGGTTAAACAGTTCCGACCACCAATGGGCGGCTATTGCCTAGAGTTCCCAGCAGGTGAGTAGCTGAGAAGGAACAAACATCATGTTCCTTCTCAGGGACTGTTGAGCAAGGCAGTGCCTGAGAACTGCAGTGCTTAGATCTTTAACACCTTTTCATCTGTCCATGTGGTTTTAAGTAAAACAGAACCATTTCTGTTGGGAGGCTCTACCAGGCCACCAGCCGCACTCCAGTGATCCACTGAATCCAAGAAGATGATGTGAGGCAGAGTGCTATGGCCCACCTTTCCATGCCATCCCATCCACCTCTCTGCAGTGTCTCTCTCCAGTCTCTCTTTAAGTAATTACTGTTCCTTACTTTGTCAACTTATTTCATTTCCTGTCACTAGCAATCTGCTCCTGATAAGAAGTTTAGTAATAAGCAGATCAGACTGAACTCCAAAAAACCATAAATGAAAAAGACAATTTGATCTACCATCTATAAACAGGAGAAGGAAATTTTCTTAATTTCAATATTTTTTCAGTTATACAGTAATTAAAGCAATCCAAAATTTAGTGCATTATATTATTATAGGACTTTATTGGATTATCCCTGTCTAAAAAGATGAACTCTTATTTACTTGTCATTAATGGTGCAAGTGTTGTGTTTTGGAGTGTACTTAGTGGTGAAGTGCATACTGAGCATGCATGAGGCTCTGGGCTCAATCTTCATAACCACCACCAAAAAAAAAAAAAAAAGAAGAAGAAGAAAAAGCCCAGTTCATGGTAACATACAGTGAGAGCTATTTCATTTCTCATTTACTTGCCATTTTACTAAAGAAATTAATAAGATTCAAAGTAACTGAGTAACCTGCAGTTCACTTTTTCTTTACATTGTTTTATTCCATTCAAGCAAAAGAATCTGAATTGCCACTCTCCTCCCACTTGTCCTATTTGCTTCTCACAATAACCATAATGGTCATCTGAAGTCCACAAGCCTTCAGTTTACTCCTTTCTGGCATTTAATTATAAGACCTCAGTATTTTTCTGTGGGACAGAAAGGCAAGATAGATAAAGCTGCTTTTTGTGCTATGTCACATAGTTGGCTCCCAAAAGTAGCCATTTAGCCACCACCAAGTCACTTTTCCTTAGAAACACTGTGCTTTACAAAAAGACTGTTGATATATCATCGTCATGAAAAAAATCCAGATCTAAATAAGAGGAATGTATTCTTTTAAGTTCTAAATTCCAGTCAGCTTTATCTTTAAAACCACTTTACATGGTCCTCTGACTCATCTAACAACTGAGCTATGCTAGAAGAATGAAAAGTTGCAAAGAAATTGAATTCCCCTATCCCATCTTATAAGTGATCTGGACTTCCAGGTCTCATAGATGACAATGAAAGCCCAGAAGCTGCTGCTCTTCGGGAACTGGAGGAAGAAACTGGCTATAAGGGCGACGTTGCTGAATGTTCTCCAGGTTTGTACTGCTTGCCAGGTGTGCACTTTGGACAGTATCTTGAAAATCACTAGATTCCTCTGTATAAAGGGATCAGTTATTTGGATGTTCTTTATACTCAGAATGCAAGTGACTGTTATTTCAACTAATTCACTGAAGAGAATAGGTTATAATTGGTCTCCTCAGGAAAGCAGGTAGAAACAAGAAGGACCTGAACTTGGAGGAGAATCATGAAAGTTAGATGCCTTTCAGAATTTCCCCCATTCTAACCTTTAGTACTTTCTCACCTCATCCATGTGCCACACTCCTCACTAGAAGTATCCTTTTTTCTTGTAACTAGGCAGTTCCACCTAATACCTCAGACTTAACCAAACCTGACTCAGTAACTCTGAGGAAAATGGGAGAAATGTGTGTGAAATATATTAGTATACATATACTCTGCAGTCCCGTAGCATGTACTGACTGAATATATAACTGTAATATTGCTTTATCAATTCTGTAACTATGAATCCCCAGCCTGTCTTCTTAGGATATTTAAGTAGTAAGACAAATGAGAAAAGGGACTAAAGCATCTGACTGATTTCTTAAGATGAGTTGTCACTGCTCTCCATAGTTGTATGTATGGATCCTGGTTTGTCAAACTGTACCACACACATCGTGACAGTAACCATCAATGGAGATGATGCAGAAAATGTAAGACCTAAGCCAAAGCCAGGTAAGTGTGTGTTGGCTATGCTGAAGGAGGCTGAATTGCATTAAGTATCCTTTTAATTTGTTAAATTCTTTTGTTAAATGAATCATAATCTTCCATTCAAAGCATCATAGTCTTTTAGAGGTACTTTAGTATTCTCTCGTCTGTTTTCCTAATTTGGGTAGTTTAGCATTTTTCTTTCATTTGATTGATTTTTATTCTTTATTTAAAATGTTAAATTACACATTTCTATATTTTTTATATGAAGTTTATTCCCACTTAGTAAAAGGAGCTACAGGCCCAAATATAAAGTGAGAAACTTCAACACCACCTTGATTTCTGTATTCCCGTATATTGTAAGAATGACAAGTATTGTTAAGGGGCAGATGTTTATCAACTATTCCTTATGAGTTTTATATTTAGAGAATGTGTTAGGATATTCTTTGTTCTAAAATATTTATCAAGTTTGGGGTCAAGCTTTCAATTCCATGTCCTCTCTTCCACCTCTTAAAGGGAGTATTTATATACATACCACAGTAAATCATGTATGAATGGGAATTTTTATAATTTCTTACCCTTTTTAGTTATTCCTGCTTCAGTGTTTAATTGCAACTAATTTTAAATGCTTAGTATTTAAATTGCAAATATAACATGCTATGGAAAACAGTCTGGCAATTCCTCAAAAAATTAGATATAGAATTACTATGAGATCTAGCATTTCCATTCCTAAAAGAATTGAAAGCAGAGACTCGTATACTTGTACATCCACGTTCACTGCAGCATCATTCACAGTAGCCAAAAGTGGAAACCACCTAATGTCCATCAGCAGATGAATGGATAAACAAAATGTAGTCTCTGCACACAGGGGAATATTCAGCTATCATAAAAAAAAAACTTGGTGTGGTATGCTACAACATGTATGAACCTTAGAAACATTGTGCTAGGTGAAATGGGCCCAACACAAAAAAAACAAATATTATTTGATTCTACTTCTATGAAGTACCCAGAACAAACAAATTAATAGACACAGAAAATAGAGATTACAATAATTATCCATTATTTTTTTTAATGGGTTCCAAGTTCCTGTTTGGGGTGATAGATAGTTCTGAACATTACATCACTGATTCATAGGGGGTTAAATTAATTCTGTGGGTTAGAACACCAAAGTTATTAGTGTCCATTTTCATCTAAGATCTTTATTCTCTTAACATTCTTGGTCCTAGTGAAACATTTCAGTATACAAAAATACTGCAATGCAATGTTGATACCCAAGAGAAAATCCATTATCATATGTATGCTGGTGGTCATCATTAGTGTGGTACAATTTTTTTAAAATAAACTATCATGCCCTTAAAAAAAAAAAATGGCCAGAAAGGTAAATTTTATGTATATTTTACCACAGTATACAGATATTACATCTACATATGTACATTATAGAATATGCTTTTAAATTTTCTTATTAAGCCCTTGATTTAGAGAATAATAACTTTGTACTATTGAAACTTGTTTTGTCATGAGATAACTAAAGTTGGTAGAGAATCAGGTCTCTGTTAAATAGCCATTTTGATATGTCTTACATTATTAAAAGTTTTCCAAGGTATTACCCTTGCAGTCTTGCTAAAATGTTCTCCTTCTGTTGTTTATTTTCAGGGGATGGAGGTATGTTATTCGACTTCCAGTTGCTGACCACTTGTATGGCTTAGTATAGTGATGACGCTACAGTCATTTTGGGTTGTTTTGGTGGGCTCTTGTTATTTAGCTCTGTTTTCATTTGAACTTTGTTTATTTAGAATTTGTGGAAGTAATTTCTTTACCAAAGAACGACCTGCTGAATAGACTTGATGGTAAGCATCCTTAAGATTATTACCCAACTTTCTCTATTTTCCTTGGCCCCATCCCTAGCAAATGAGTATTAAAAGTAACTCCCATTTCTTTATCTTAATGTCCAATACCTAGAAACCATTGTGAAAATTGCCATTGACATATAGTAATTTTTTTTCCAGCTGGCATGGAATTTTAGAATATAAGCAAAACATTCTATATTCAAGTGAAAGCCTTTAGTAGGGGCCTTTGTTCCCCTACAAAATTGTTTTAAGATTATATTCCTATTCAAAACTAGCCAAAACTATTCTGTACTTTCAGTCTTTATTCCATAGTAGTGCAAAGGCGTAAATGGATATGCCTTAGCTTTCCCTCAACTGTGTCTTGGATGGTTCTTTGTGCAGGATGTAAGTTAAAGGAGAATTTAACAATATTTCTTCAACAAATATTTGTAGTATCTACTGTATACCATGATAAACTGATATAATGAACCAAACTAACTAGCTGTGTGACCCTTTTTAAGTCACTGGTCATGTAGTTCCATTCTGTAACTCTTGGCCAGTCCATCTTACAGGGATTTTGTAAAAATTCTGTTATGTGGAAAGATGTCCTTCATATAACTGCCTCAGGCAATACTGCTAATGCAGACATGACAAGGGCTGTTCCAGGAGTACTCTGTGCCGGCTGGGTAGATTTCTGCTCATTTACAAAGGAGAGCCTTTTCAAAATGTAAATATTTTATTGGTTATAGTTCAGGAAATTGATACCTATTTTTTCTACAATTTTTAAGTAATTATTTCACACATTAACTTGAAGCATTATTTGCTCAGAAGCTTTTTAGAGTGTCTCTTCCTTCCATGACTACAAGTGGCTTACAATTTCACTTCAAAGCAGATCACTCTGAAATGTCTGTTACTGGTTTGAAAGGTAAAGTGGGTATCTTTCAAAAGCTACTGTGAATTCAGACTCTCAGCCTCTGTCCCTACTTTACCTTTTAAAATACTAGACCTAAAGTAGAAACCACCTCAAGATCTTAAAAACAGACTTCAAAATAATCATAGCATATTAAAGAGAGATACCATTCTGAGAAAGCCATGTCAGTGGCTAATATATAATACAGAGGGGAATGGTGGCTCATGCCTATAATACCTGCAATTAGGAAGGTTGAGACAGGAGGATTGCAAGTTCAAGGCCAGCCATACCAACTTAGGAAGGCCCTAAGCAAACTACAAAATAAAAAGGGCTGCAGATGCAACTCAGAGGTAAAGTACCACTGGGTTCAATCCTCAGTTTAAATAAATAAAGAGGCAATACAGCTCATAGTTGCACATTCCTGACTTGATTTGAGGCTCAGCTGATTATTTATGACTTCAAAAAGTCTTGATCTCTAAACTTTATTTTAAAACATGAATAATAATAGTCTCTACCTCTGAAGAGGCATGAGTAAAATTAAATGGGACAATGTAGGTAAAGCACTTGGCATCCAAGTGCTTAAGTGCTACACACCATCAGTTTTTATTCTTTCTTCCATTAAGAGAATATCCTCTTTAAAAAATGTCTTTCTATGCCCTGTCTCCCACCTAATTTGCCTTTGTTTCTGATCTTAGAAGAGGGGGAAAATAGAGCAAGAGAAGGAGGAGGAAAGGGAGGAAGAGAGAAAAAGATGAAAGAACCAGTTTGCCTAACCTTAGTAGATACAGTAATCAAGTAATGTATTCAACAAGGGACATTTGAGAAGGTGTAAGGAAGGTATTTTAAGATCAGTTTGCCACAAAGAATAGCATTCAACACTTATTGAGCATCTGCCATACATAAGTGAGTAGGACATGATCCCTGCCTTCAAGGATCAAATTATCTTTGAGATTGTTCCCAAACAAATGGCTAGGCAAACTACACGTTCAAAGTCTGACATCCTCCATTGGAGTGAAAAACAAGTTCCCACTAAGGCCTATTATAATTCTGAGAACACATTCTTGGTAGTATTCTTCCAGGCCTAACATGCACATATTTCAGCCTGCCAAGGGGAAATGTGCACCCTCCGGTGATGGGAGAATCATCACCTTGGAGTTTCAGAAGAGTAAACCCAGAGCTGTAAATGAAGTATAACCATTGGATCTGTGAACTTACAGCTTTGCTGTCTTAACATGTAAAATCATTATCCTTGGTGTTCTATCTTGTGCTGGGAATGGGATCCTACTTTTCTGTCCTTCATTCTTCCTTTGGAGTGGGATCTCTGAAGATAGAAAATATTATTACGAGCATCTAGCCTATGAACAGGCAAATACTAGTTGTACAGTAAATATTAAAAGTGTTATCCATTGTTAAGTGCATTTTCTAAGTTATATTTTTTGCTTCCTGCAGCTCTAGTAGCTGAAGAACATCTTACAGTGGATGCCAGAGTCTACTCATATGCTCTGGCGCTGAAACATGCAAACACGAAGCCATTTGAAGTGCCCTTCCTGAAATTTTAAGGCCAAAGAGGACACTGGCCCTGTTTTTGTAAATGAGACTACTAGGTCTTCTTCACAAAGACTTTGTATTCAACTTAGTTTAATGTAGATTTGAAATTAGTTTTTTCATAAAATAAAAGCAGCACAAAATGCATGTGGTGGTATGGAACTGTAATTACAGGTAGGCTACAACCTTTAAAATTTAAAATCTAGCTAATATTAATGGAAACAAACAAATGCAGGTGTCTTTACTACAAGTTTTATTTCTTTAAACCCAACTACTACTTTTTTAACCTAATCTAAAAGGTAGGATAGGAAAACAAACTTGAGTTCCAAATTGGGGCAAATCTTTCCACCCTCAACATCTAAAATAAAAATTCTGTTGCTGGGTATGTATATACCTGTTTTCTGCATTAGTGTTTTTAGTTTTGAAGAAAGAGACCTATATAGGACTATTTTGGCCTCTCCTAATTGAATTGTTATATGAAATCCAACTGGGCAATACAGTATGTAAAATCAATAGAGAATAACATTTGTGATAAACAGTATATGGTGACTTGATAACCATCCCAATTACTGAAGGTGACCCAGCTTTTAGATAATGAAAAATGATTGATTCTACTCAATATACCAGGCGAAGAGACTAGTGAAAATCCATGGCCCTTCATTAAGCATGTACACTATACTTTCGATCTAATTTCCTATATTTATCTCAGAATATACTTGTGAAAACAGATCCATAGGGCTGGGGTTATGGCTTAGTGTTAGAGTGCTTGCCTAGCAATGTGTGAGGCCCTGGGTTTGATCCTCAGCACCACAGAAAAATAAAGGTATTGTATCCATCTAGAACTACAAAAAAAAACCAGATCCATAATAAGATTGACATGGTTTGGGGCACTAATATCATGATGTCAAACCAGAAGTATAGGCAGTAAGATTAGCTAATACTTGAAGCCCAAACTGAAGGGAAACGTGGGAATAACTGGTGCATGCCATGCCTGAAGTCCAACACCCAAGAGTTCTACCAATGTTCCAGGGCCATTTAATTTTTCAGCTTCCAACAGCTCCAGCATAATTGTCTTTTCAGTTTGGCCTCTCAAAGAAGTCAGGATGAGGCCAGGCATAGTGATGCATCCTTGTAATCCCAGGGTTTGGTAGGTTGAGGCAGGAGGACTCTAAGTTGCAAGGCCAGACACAACAATTTAGCAAGACCCTAAGCAATTTGAGAGAGATCCTGTCTCAAAACAAAAAATGGGCAGGAGATATAGCTCAGTGATAAAGCACCCGTGTTCAACCCCCAGTACCATCTCCTGATGGAGAGGAAGCGGGAAAGGAACATGGATACTATGAATTAACTGGATCTAGGGATAAAGGTAGGCCCCTTGTCTAGCACCTGCTAGGCACTGGGTAAAATCCTCAGCCCCACATACATAAATAAATATAAATATCCAACTACAACTAAGATATATATAAAAGCTGCTCATACATGTCCTTCTTTTAGTTGTAGATGGACACAACATCTTTATTTTTTTAATGTGGTGCAGAGAATCAAACCCATTGCCTCACGCATGTGAGGCAAGCACTCTACCACTGAATACAGCCCCAGCCCTCATACATATCTTTATCTAGACTGAAGGATGGACAGAATTACAGGACTCTAGAATTTTATAAATCAAGTTTACTGTCCTTCTAAGTGTGAAGACTTAGCTCCATCTCCTTGCTACAACAGTAACTTTTTCCTATGCCTCTAACCCTTTAGTTAAAATCTTTTTTAAAATCATGGGTATCATGATTCTCCAAAGGACGTTTCCTATCATTTCCAAAATTACTCTCCTCCTTTGAAATCAAGAAGAGACAAGGCAGAGATAGACTCCAGCACAGAACAATTCTTCCAAAGCCACTCCTATAGGAGTGATATTTAAGGAGTGAGGCTTGTAACCTCTATCTGGCCTTTCTTTCTTCCCAAGAGTCACTTAGAAGCAACAGCTAACTCCTAGAACCATCCCTAGTGCTGTTCACATTATCTGTGAACATCAAAAGGTTGTGCCTTGGAGATTAAGTCAGAGTTTGAATACTGCAGTCTGGGTGTTTTTGCTGGTCAGCACTGTTTTAGTTGCCTGAACTTAAAAAGTGATTTAACAGGGCCTGGATTGTGGCTCAGCAGTAGAGCACTCACCTAGCAGGTGCAAGGCACTGGGTTCAATCCTCAGCACCATATAAAAATAAATAAAGGTATTGTGTGCAACCAACTACAACTAAAATATATATATATAAAGTGATTTATAAAGAACTACAAATTCAAAAAGAGACACAATAATTTCAGATTGAACATTAAAGTGTATATTACATTTGTCCTCTTTCAACAGGCATCTCAGAATGGGCTTGATGTAAATACAGTGAACCTATACAAATAATCTTGGAGAACACTGAATATCAGATTCCTTTATTTTTCCAACACAACTGAAACAGTTTTATTAAATAAAAGTTTATTGTCTACTGTTTACACTCATGTTGCTGCTATAAGTACAACAGACTTAAATTCCTAGCATGAATTACTCATTGTTCACCCCCACTGAACTACAGACTTTGCTTGAGAATTAGATCTTTGCTTTAGGGATTTAAAAAAAAAGAAAAGAATTGGGGCATATCATCTTGAAAGAGTATTCTCAAGTGACTGGCTGGAATTAGAAGGCATAGCCAATACAGTCAAACAGCACAGTATATGCTGTCCCTGGGAGGAAAGGAGGAATGAAAAACAGGAAGAGTAATCAGAAGCAATTGTTTCTGGCAACAGAAATACTGTCAATGCTTGATTTTGCTCATGTGGGCTAAGTGGCTGCTTTGGTAAGGAACAAATAAAAGATGGGGATAGGGATGGAGAGGGAGGAGGGAAGGAACATGGATACTATGAATTAAAAAAGTATAAAAAGTAATTATCTAAAATATAGATTAGATATAAATGTTCCAGAACTCATCAGATAAGCTCAAAAATACTGGAAAGTGGCAATTTGAACTACATTTATTTTTAAACAAGGGGGGAATATTAAGTGTTTTGAATGTTGTGTGCAAAACTAATCCATGTCACCATCTCACTGTCATGATTTGACACAGCAAGGTAGATGCATTGGTTTCCAGCATTACAGGCAACACTAGATGTACACTTTTTAACGAATAATGTAAACTTCAGTTTTAAGGCAGCTGGTACTAATGCTGCACACAGGCTTAGCTCTGTGCCCATTTCAGAAATGGGACTGTTAGCACTTGAAAACAAGAAACTGAGGGGGGAAAAGGGGAACCAGCATTATTTGACAAAAACAAAGTGTCAAAATGTTTTCCCTTTCACACACACAAAAAGAAATATTTGAACATTTAGAAAAACAAAGCACCCATCCCACCAACTTCAGCCTGTTCCTTAACAAATATTTCAAAATACTGATAAATAATTGTGACTGCAAGTAGAATTCCAGTGCCAGATCCAATGGCCCCAAGGAAGTCAGCTAACACCGACAGGGCGCCAATGCACAAGCCACCAAATGCAGCTGCAGTGGGGATATACCTAGAAGACAAAACCCTTAGTCAGGCAGTGGAGCAGAATGTGAGAAGTGACAAATAAGATGGCAAGGTTGATTCTCTAAAGAAATACAAATTAATCAAATGGGAAGAGTATAGCATTGATGGGTTGTACATAATGGACGACACGCTGATGAGAAATTGTGATTAAGGCAATGACTTGACTCCCGTATTTAAAGAAAAAGGCTAATAGCCAAAAAAGGCAATATGTAATTTTTAGGACAGAAGATCAGAATCCTTGGCTGAGATTTAAGCATTAAACATTTAATCTTTTTAAACAAGTAAACATGTCAACAAATGGAACAAAATTTTGAAGATCCTCTTCAACAGTGATTCAACCTTAGTTGACATTGGAATTATGAGGAAGATTGTTTTTAAACAATGGGTTTTTATTTAAAATAAGGGTGGGGAGATCTGGGGGATACAGGAGATGAAAAACAGAATGGCAGAATGATGGCAGTTCCTGAAGCTAGAGGTTCACTACAGCACTCCACCAGAGCGTGCTGAAACAAATAAAAAGTTCACATGAAAACACTAGTGCCTTTTCAACAAGTCGTGCTGGAACAACTGGACACCCATCACACAACACAAAATGAACTCAAAAGTGCATCCCAGATCTACACAGAGAAGCTGAAACTTCTAGGAGAAAACAGGAGTACAACTTGAGTTTGGCAATGCTTTTTTAGTTACTTCACCAAAAGCATCAAAAACAAAATAAACTTGGGTTTCATCAAAATTAAAAACTTGTGCATCAAAGATCATCATCAAGAAAATGAATAGCCAGGCATAGTGGCTCACTCCTTTGACGTCGACGCTGAGGCAGGAGGATTGAAAGTCTTAGCAACCTAGCGAGACCCCGTCTCAAAATTTAAAAGGACTGGAGTCCTAGCTCAGTGGTAAATCAGCTCTGGATTTAACCCACAGTACCAAAAAGAGAAAGTGAAAAAATAACCAACAGAATGGAAGAAAATATTTGAAATATCTGACAATTGTATTAAAAAAATAAAAATCCAAACCCAATTCTTAAAACTAACAAAAAGACAACCCAATTAAAAATGAGCAAGGGATCTGAACAAATATTTCTTCAAAGAAGAAACAGCATAAATAGCCAATAAATACTTGAAAAGATGTGCAACATCATTGGTCATATGGAAAATCAAAACCACAATGAAACACCTCTCCACACACATTAGGAAAACAAAACTCAAAACATTAAGAGCTAGTGCTGGTGAGACGTGCAACATATGGAACCTCATCCACTGCAGGAGACTGTTGCAGCCACTCTAGGAAGCAGTTTAGAAGCTCCTCAGTATATTAACCTGTTACTATATGACCCAACACTTCCCCTCTTAGACTAATGAAAATGTACATCCACAAAAAACCTGTACAAGTATGTTTGCAACAGCATTATTCATAATAGACAAAAAGTGGAAACAACCCAAATTTCTATCAGCCAATGAATGGATAAACAATGTAAAAAGTCATACAATGGAATATTATTCAAGAAAAAAGGAATAAAGTAATGATACTACAACATGGATGAACAGGCAAAGTGAAAGAAATCATTCATAAGAGTACATATTT